AAAAAAAAAAAAAAAAAATCACTGTTCACCGAAAACACTGTTCATTGGTGGAAAAAAAAAAATTGTCCCACCAGATTCAGAAAATTATAGCAACATCCCAATTGTTCCAAAAATTACAGAAACACCCCAGAAAGTTTTAAAAGTTGCAGAACTACTACCAAAAGTTTCAAAATTACAGAAACATCACCCCAGAAGTTACAAAAATTACAGAATCTTTCCCCCAGAAGTTTCAGAATTGTTAAATCAACCCAAAAAGTTTTAGAATTTCCTCTTGATTATGGTATGCATACTCTCGTAGAATTGAGACTAATATTTTTATTCATTGAAAAATTAGAGAATTTGCAAAGGATTCAAAACATATTTTCTTCTATTTAAACTTTCTAAATTTGTCAATTGCATCCTTGAACTCATTCTTATGTCATTCTCATCTTTCAAAGTCAATCATGAGTTCATATGATCATTATGATGCCTATTCATATACTTATCCAACATCAAGAATGTCTCAAGTTCATAGTTCTCCACAACGTCATCACTATACCTATTCCATTCCTAGAGTTTCTTGGAGTCATCATAAAGTCCATAATAAATTTGAATTTTATTATAAAGATTATCTAGAATACTACTCTGGGACACTTAGGTCATATAACAGTTATCAACATCATGCTTCCCAAAGTCATCATCAAGGTCAATCTAGATCAATCTTTAATGTCATTAGTGACCATTCAAAAGCCCAAATTGTCCTAGGAAAAAAGGTTGAGATCTTTGAAATTGAAGTTGCCAATACTAAATATTCACTCGGCCAATTACGTGAAGAATATAGAGGGGTGAAAAATCAATTATCTGAATTAACAAGTCAACTTTCCCACTTAAATAAAATTCTTGCAAATTAGCAAATGGAAGAAAATAAAGACAAGTCTCCAGTTTCACCTAATATCGGACACCCGCATCATGATAGTCATATTTCTATTTCATTAGACCCTCATGCTTTATATCCTTCAAAACATACTTTCAATCGTTTGAACATTAATACTAGTGATGAGATTATTTTTGATCCTATCGTGTTTTCCACCTCATCGGTGCCAAAAGTTGAATCATCACTAAGCATTGAACTTGAGAAAAAATCCATTTAGTTGGTTACTATACAAGATGTTGAGCATATTGAGCTATCTATTTTACAATCTATTGGCAATTATTCTATGTATACTATTCCGAATCATGATGGCATTGTTGTGGATTCTTCTTCATTTGAGATTGTTGATTTTGTTTCGGATTTTTCTCCACCTGAGATTGTTGACATTGTTCTAGATTCTATCCCACTTGAGAGTGTTAACTTTGTTTCTTTACCTATTGTCAAGTGTTTTCTTGAGTTTATACTTTCTTATGTTCCGCATCAGGACATTATTGTTACTCTTTTGTCGTCGATATCTTGTCTCATTGAATACTTTGTGTTGAAATCTAATGAGAATTGTTTTGCTATTCTCGAGTTTGGAACTAATGCTTATTTGCTTAATTTTTCATTAAATGTTAGTATTAATCTAGATTTTTATTTGGAGGACATGCTGCTTAATCGGGGTACTCCAGCACCTCCTATTTTATTCGCAGGTGTTCATACAGATAGAGATTTTTTTATTTATCCTGATCGATGAAAAGAAGTTGATGGTTCTTTTATTCTAGATGAGACATTATTCATCTCCATCCTGCTCTCTTAGGGTATTTCTACTTTGAAGACTCTTCGGAGGAGAGTTTTTTTCAACCGGAGGAGAATGATGGGGATCGTGTAAGAATTGGATAGATATTTTAGATTAATCACGATAGTAATTTAATATTTATCTTTTAAGTATTTTCTTTTTAACTTTTAAGAGTTTAATTGTCATTTTGATTATTTATTTATTTTAGGGTTTGTGATCTCCTTATATATATAGGATTTGTGAACTCCTTATATATATAGGGGATACATATTTGTTGAGAGACTAGATTTTGATTATTGATTATTGATATTGAATCTTCTTCATAAAATTTTCTTTCTATTCTCATCCCCTTCTTCTTTTCTCATCTCTTTCTTCTTCCTTTCTCATCCCTAATACGATCTACATCACAGTTTTTTGAGATGCAACGGCATGATGCTGNCTTCTTCTTTTCTCATCTCTTTCTTCTTCCTTTCTCATCCCTAATACGATCTACATCACAGTTTTTTGAGATGCAACGGCATGATGCTGTTAGGGCACATGAAATTTATCGGAAGGCAGGAGATCAGGTATGCATGATTTATGTATCATTATGTACTTCTGTTGATGTACACTTCACTACCTTCCAATTTTATTTTCTTACATCTTGATGTGGAATATAATTTTGTTACTTCAGGCAGAGAGGTTATCCGAGTTCTTTGAGATCTGCAGGGGCCTCGATTTTGGACGAGGGCAGAAGTACATCAAAATTGAACGGGTATGCAACCTCATAAGTGGATTTCTAACTGTCTCCTAGTACTTGGGATCATTATAAGTTATTATTACTGTCTTTCCAATATTTTTAATTCCATTCTGCTATTTAACTTGATCAAATAACCCTACATGTCCCATTGCAGCCCCCTGCGTCTTTTGTGACAGCCATGGAAGAGTATGTGAAGGAGGCTCCACAGACTTTAATGCTCCCTTGGAAAGTGGTATGTCTTAATGCTTTTAATCTGCAATTATTCCTTGGAAGCAGTACTTAAAAATAATTTAGTGTGTATAAGATCAAACTAGCACTCCGCTCCAGTCTCAGCAAATGTGTATTCATGGAATTGACCAAAATTTCCATCATTCATACTAGTTGTCAGCTTTCTAAAATGTCAATATGCATTCTCTGTTCTAGATGCCAGCCAGTTAAATAAGCATTCATTTTACCAAATCAGTTCTCTTTCTCCAAGTCAACTTTCTCCCTTCTTGCTTTAGTTTGATTGCAGTTGTAGCATCTTACTAATATAAAAGTAAAGGCTCTTCTCCTGTTCTACGAATGTACAACTCTACTGTGTGAGACTCCATCCATATTCTTACTAGTAATTATTCTTGATTCTCATTTGTTTGACAGCTTAAACTAGGCTCCATTTTAGACTTAGGATGTGCCAAGAAATTTTTGAGGTAGGGGGGCATTAAATTCTGCATGCTGAATTTATGACGTGTGTGATCTTTTTCAAAACAAACCCTCATTGCCATGGCTTTTATATCTCCGTGGTCTCATCAGAACAATGATGACAGAGATTCTACTCCTAAAGCAATCACTGCTCGTGGATCTGATGTGGAGACTGATCATAAGCAAGATATTGACATCGTAGAAAAATCAGATCCATCTGTCACATTGCCTGAGCTCCCAGAGAATGAGAACTGCAAGGCTGTAGCCGCAGAGCATGTCACTGACCTGTTGGTAAGTGCTTCTGGAGCTTCCATGCTCTCTGTACTGTAGTAGGACAATTTCTGGAATCTTCTGATTTACTTATCAAACTGTCTGTGTCTACTAGGGCTTGGATGAGTTAACTCAAGAAGCATCTGACTTGGATGATAAAAATGCCCTTGCTCTTGCAATTGCTACCCCTGGTGATTTGTTTTTCTTGGCCATTAACAACTTAGATTCTTTGGAAGTACTCCATTACTTTTCTTATTTTAGTAACAATGTGACAGCAAATCCATCTGATGCCACAAACAGTTCAGATTTGCCATGTCAATCTACTAGTTGGGAGCTTGCACTTGTTACAGCACCAAGCTCTATCGGGGATGCAGTTACAGACAGTAAATTGGTTAGTCTTTCATGTGCTGTACTCGGTATGCTTTTCATCCATAGTCTTAAACCATGTTCCTCTCATTTGTCATAGTAATTATGTTGAGTGTTATCCCCTCCTCCTCGTCATTACATATCAATTAGCAAGCCAAAATTCTCTCACCCGGCCTAAGTAAGAACCTTACCATTTTTCTTCTTCTTCTTCTTTTTTTTTTTTTTTTATCATTTTCATTTTTCTAATTTGAGGACTCCTTTTCCTACTGCTACATCCTATTGTGGCCTATTTTCCCTATGAGCCTTTTTTTAGTTGCTTTAATCTAACTCATCTCTTTTAGAGCCCTTAACCTGCTTAGAGGAGCATACTATACCATTTTCACCATTGTTTTCTGTTCCCGGATTCGAGCTTAGTTCTAGCAGGGTGGTGCAGAAAGTAGGGCTCCTAGTCCCTTCTTCTTATCTTGAACCAAGGATGAATGCTGTCAGTGTATTTTCTCGAGGTGAAATACTAGCCCTCTGGTAGTAAAGAATATTTTATTTTCCTAACTATGTGTAGGTTTTTACAAAACTCATAAGAAAGTGTAGATTTTTTTTTTTTTGATAACCATGAATTGTCCCACTCACCCCTTGAACTCATGGATGTAAAGTAAACTCGGGCTGCACACAGCTTTTATTTTTGGGATATAATTTTGTCACATTTAGTGAACTATTCAACGCTGCTACTTCCATAATCCTTCAAAATATGCCATGAATTTGTTTGCTTTATATTTCTGCTGATTTTATATCCAAATACAGGCCGGTGGGCTGGACAGATTAATACTGGATACTCTGTATGATGATGCATTGGCAAGAAAAACAAACCAGAATGTGACCCACCACACAGGGGAAGTCGCAACCAATCCTTTTGAGGCTGTTCAACATACCGGAGACCCTTTTTATGCTTCAAACAACATTGCTCCGCCAACTAATGTGCAGATGGCAGCTATGGCAGAACAACAAACTTCAATGCAACAGCAGCAGCAGCAGCACCAACCCGTGGGGGTCCAGTGTCCAGCTAATCCCTTTGGAAATCCTTTCATGGAACAGGATGTCACGTCATATCCAGCTCAGAGCCCGAGCCCAAGTCTGAGTCCGATNTGCCAACTAATGTGCAGATGGCAGCTATGGCAGAACAACAAACTTCAATGCAACAGCAGCAGCAGCAGCACCAACCCATGGGGGTCCAGTGTCCAGCTAATCCCTTTGGAAATCCTTTCACGGAACAGGATGTCACGTCATATCCAGCTCAGAGCCCGAGCCCAAGTCTGAGTCCGATTCCCTACAATGGTTTGATTTAAGCTGGTTGAAGGAAAAATTATCAATATTGCAGGGCCAAGGTTCAAGACATGCTTGCAGTAGCAAAAAAAAAAAAAAGAAGCACATTTGGGACAATGGCAAGCTACAATATTGGATCCAGCTTTTGTTCCTTTGCGATTTTTCTTCACCTTTTTGGGTTGGGTCCACTCTAGATTTGCCCCCACAAGCTTCCCAGTTCTGACTATAGAGTACAATATTGGNCTTTTGTTCCTTTGCGATTTTTCTTCACCTTTTTGGGTTGGGTCCACTCTAGATTTGCCCCCACAAGCTTCCCAGTTCTGACTATAGAGTACAATATTGGTGATGTGCTCACACGGCCATAATTTTTACCATGCCACCTTGAGGAGATGCTAGCATAGTTGTACATGGTATGATGTCAATCTCTTTGCTCTCGCACATAGTTGTACATGAGTAGTTCTGCTGTGTGTGTGTGTGTCATGTTGGATTCCTATAGTGGCTTGCTTTGACTTGTGCATTGAATGAAGAAATCTTNAGTTGTACATGAGTAGTTCTGCTGTGTGTGTGTGTGTCATGTTGGATTCCTATAGTGGCTTGCTTTGACTTGTGCATTGAATGAAGAAATCTTGACCTCCCTTGCAAAGGATCATCGGGTAGGTAATTATGATGTGCACACTTGTGAATCGTGTTCTGCAATTACTCTTTGAAGATACTTTGATATTTTACAATTTTGTGGCTTAATTGACTTAACACAGACCTCTCGTACTAGGGTTGGCATCATAACTTCGGTATTAAAAAGATCTGACAGATTTGGTTAGTTTCCAATTTAATTAGTATGTGGTTTCAATTCAAAATGTTGGGAGACAGTTCAATTTTTACCTGCCCTTGTGTTAAGGGAGAATGAGAAACCAACCCTAATACAAGATAATTAGGTTGGGCCAATCATATGAAAGGTCTCAATCGAATCGTGTTTTTGTGATTTTATATGTGCAGGGTTCAGCCTATTATAAACTAAACCGACATATGAAAATATAGAAGAAACATTTCTTCATACAATACTAGTTGAACGACTCATTCAATTTTGACACCAACCCTCCTCATTTATTACTAATATTAATTAGTCCTCTTACTGCTCATCCAAATATAGGAACAGCATAATCATGGTTCTCCAAGTGAAAACGGAACCAAACCCAAAATCTGCAGACTGACTGATGAATATTTGTATACAAATCATTACACTACAAACAATTGTCCCACCTTTGCATCATTCTGTCAACTGCGTAAATGTTTTCCAGAGTTTCTCACCAAGATGAGCATGTACCCAAATGATCATAGGTAAACATTCTAGCGTTGGAATGAAATAGAATAAGAACCAGTGTTTGGATCTTTAACGGCTTTAAAGTTATCGACGCTCATCCCAAAGCGGCCCAGAATCGAATTTCCCATGTCTTTTAACTTCCCTGCTCACACATCAAATCCAACTACTTCAGTTTCTCTAGGGGGAGATTATAATGATGAAAATATTACCTGTGCTGCATCTAAAACAGTGTTTCTCTAAAAAAATTTCAACATGCCACCATTAAACCAAGATTAATAGATAAACTAACACATAAACAGATGGGAAGAGGCTTCACCCAAGTTCATAAGTAGAACAAAAAGTCCAAGGCCAGAGTAATATTGGTAAAAGTAAAAATCCATCTCACCGCAAAACACTTACCAAGAAAAATGGCACAACTTCATATAAGAGACTAAGGTGGTGTTTGAGATGGCTACAGGAAATTCAAAATTGTTTAATAACAAATAGTTTTGAAGAGAATGTAATGTTCACAAAAAAACACTATCAGCATTTGCGATCAACAAAAAAAGCATTAATAAATGTCACAATTACTAATAACCCCTAAACCCCAAAATGTATGTATACACATATATATGGTACTGGTGGTAGAGGTGGTGGTGGCAGTAGGGGGTAGTGGGGTTGGTAGGGTGATGATGATGATGGTAGTGGTTGTAGAGATGGGGCAACTTGAAGGTGGTGATTGTGTCAACGGTAGTGATGCGGCCTGTGGGCGACCTAGTGGTGGAAGCAACAATGGAGGTAGTGGTGGTGGTGAAGGTCGCGATGGTAGCAGTGGTGATCACATGGCAGCAGTGGTAATTGTGGATATAAATAAGAGTATTTAGCGCATAAGTGTTTTTAAGTAAAACTTTTTCTTTTCCTACTTTTGAGCTTATTTAAGTGATAAAACTAATTTTACTTGTTCAAAAATATTTTAAATAAGTTGCTCTGAACATCACTTTTTTTTTGCTTAAAGTGCTTATGATATGTTACAAGTCCAACAATCTACAGGGGAGAAAAAGATATGTTGTCTGAAAGAAATAATTGGTAAAAATCCGAATTAGGTAACTGTTCATAAAGTGTTGCACTGCATATAATCTATGCAATGCTTATGCCAGCTGCCTATATTTTAAGGTGCATCAGAAGCAATCACCTATATTTGAACAGTTTTCAACATTGAAATTGTGNGTGTTGCACTGCATATAATCTATGCAATGCTTATGCCAGCTGCCTATATTTTAAGGCGCATCAGAAGCAATCACCTATATTTGAACAGTTTTCAACATTGAAATTGTGGCGGTTACAGGAGTTGTCAACATGACTAGGTAAATTGTTCATTTTAACACGAAATAAGCAACTTACGTAAGCAAATGGAAGCTCAAATATGCATGCATATAGCTCATCTCCCTATCCTAATGCAAGCCAGTTGCTCTTTTTTCTCCCCATTTCTCTCTCGTCTCTTTTTATAGTCTGCAAATGGTACCAGAGCACCCAAAGCCCTAACCCTAGACTCAAAACCCTACCTCTAGATCAAAACTCTAATTTTTTTCCCATCCTTTCATTTTTCCTCTCTAACTGGTCAACAAAAGGGTACATTTGCATCACAAGAAANGGTACCAGAGCACCCAAAGCCCTAACCCTAGACTCAAAACCCTACCTCTAGATCAAAACTCTAATTTTTTTCCCATCCTCTCATTTTTCCTCTCTAACCGGTCAACAAAAGGGTACATTTGCATCACAAGAAATCTCGAACAAAAATGTTTCTTTCCAGCTTTTGTTTGTCCATTTCTGGTTCAGAAGGTTTTCGATTTTCAGCTTGGTTGATATGCAAAAACCCTATCTTTCGTGTGCATGTTTTTATGTCAACTTCCAAAATTCTATATTCATTTGCTTAAATCTTATTAAAGGGCTTCTAATCATCCTTAAGACTGCTGCCTTTAGAAGAATGTGATGATTTTTGTGTATGGGTAGGANAACCCTATCTTTCGTGTGCATGTTTTTATGTCAACTTCCAAAATTCTATATTCATTCGCTTAAATCTTATTAAAGGGCTTCTAATCATCCTTAAGACTGCTGCCTTTAGAAGAATGTGATGATTTTTGTGTATGGGTAGTACTATTGTGGTGTTTCATAGTGTAGCAGATTCTGCGACTGCTCAGACCTAAAGGAGATATAGGTACACAAACAGCCAGGAAGTTTGCCTAGAAGCAGCCACCATCAGTTTACAAGGTTAAAGTTTACCCAAAAGTTGCATTGAAGTCGTGGGAGAGATATGTATCAAAGATGAATAAATTTCTTTGTATATGCCTGTGATAGACCCTTTGGCCATTGGTTCTGCCTTTTCTACTGTACCAACTTCTTGTCTTATGAAGAGCTCCAGATCACATCTCTTTCTATTTTTTCCAAAAGAGAAAATAAACAGAGAGCATGTCACACCATCTGTACATGCTTCTCACCTCACTTTATCTATCTATTCCTAGACTCCAGGCAAGTATCCTTTATTTCGCTGTTCTTGATTGATTCAGTCATTCTTACACTTGACATTAATCGTGGAAAACAAAGTGGATGACTGATGAGCTAGCTAATTGACATTCCTTTTTTTCTTGGTTGGGATGAATAGCAAATTTACAATGTTTGCCTTCGTATTAAATCAACAAGTAAAAAAGCATCTTAGTTTATTAAAAATAGTTACCATGACAAAGTAAGCAAGTATATCGTTTGGTCACCCTACTACACAAATCCTTCATATGGAAAAGCTACCTTCCTACTTAACTCATATTAAAACCAATAGTAGCATATAGGTATTCATATTATCTCCGCAAAAATTAGGAGGGAAATTTGTCTGGTGGAAACAGAACAAGTAATTAAGAAGGCAAGAGAAGACCTGACAGGAATCAAATGAGTTGAGAAAATACAAAAATAAAAAAAATTGTTTCCCCCTTGAAGGTGTTTGTGTTTCGTTTTGGGGCTGCCACATTGACGAGCTATCAAGTATAGTTTCAGATGAAATGTGTTAATAAGGCAGCGACGTGTTTTCCGATTTAAGTAGGAAGAACCAGAATACTCAAACCAACTGACCAAATGAAAGACACCAAAGGAGGACATTTTATTACAAGCATAGCATTATTTGATGGATCTATTAGTAGCATAGCATTTTTTTTNGGACATTTTATTACAAGCATAGCATTATTTGATGGATCTATTAGTAGCATAGCATTACAAGCATAGCATTTTTTGTTCTTACCTATCATCTCTTCCTTCATCTTTTCACGCTTTTCATCAGCCAATGGCTTCAAACGCAAAATAGCTCTCCTAGCCTGGTCATGTGATGGATCTATTTCCAAAACTTTTGTCATATCTGCAACAGTTATAAAATACAGACATCGCAAATAAGGAACACACAACTAGACACCGCATATAAGGAACACACAATCAAAAGAAATGAAGACAAGATAATAGTGCGATAAAAGGGCTCTTGAATACTGTCATCATAAAAGGGGGAGGTATTTCCTTTTCTTTTCTTTTTTTTTTTTTT